ACTACCTAAAATAATATATATGTATATATATATATATATATATATATATAAATATATATATATATATATAATATCTTTTATTGATTATGGGAGGTGATAAACGAAAATATGTCTCTCTGTGAACAAAGAAACGACAATTAACGTTTATTATTCACACTGTTAAATTTTATTTCTTTTATATTATGAATCTTCTTTTAGCTCTCGTATTGCTTTTCTCTTCTATGTTATATTTCATACTGCCCGTTTCTCTTCTAAATCTTAACGACTCGATTTGTAGGTCACAAAAGAAATTATAAATAATAAAGGACAATGGAAGGGCGGGCTATGAGATGCGCGGCAAATCTACCTGAAGAAAGTATACTTTCTTTATATATATATTTTTTTTGTTGATTTAATTAGATATAGATTACATAGTTATTGAGGAATAACATAAGAAAGATTATAAACGAGATAATGTCAAATAAACAATATGTTAAGTGAAAAGAAAAATTTCACCCTTTTACCAAAATGATAACAATACCATCTTTCACTTCCTTTTCGCAAAACATTCCAATAAATCTACATTTTTGAAATGCTCAAAGGTAGAATCGGATACATTTTCACAAAGTTAAACTCGCAAGTATTAATATAATTTATAGCTTCATTAATGCAATTATTTCTAAAAGCATATCTATAATTTGCGAGTGTGTCAATATTGTAATTTCGATGGAATTATATGTCTACCTATACATATTATTCCTATTATCTGTTTAATTCGATAAAAGCATCTACCTCGATTTTTCGGTAAAGGTCTTTGTAAAATTTTTGCATATTTTTAAATTTAACATCATTTAATAACTAGCGATGCAGAAATGGAATAAGCTTTTCTACGTTTCTTAAATTTTTTAATAAGCCCTGTTATGCTTTATGTAAGATATCAAAATAAGCGAAGAAGAAGATGAAGAAAAAGAAGAAGAACTTCTTGGATGCTCAAATTTCAAAAGGCACGCGCGCAATTTCATCGTCGAAGTTTCACCGTCCGATTGCATTTCCATATCCTAAACCGGCAATGGAATTCTTCTCATTTTCTCGTCTATTTTCGCGAGACGAGAGTCTAATATTCCTCGATATATCCAAAGAAATTATGTTCAATGAGATTTTATCATGTTTTCTCTTTGTGCACAGACATTAAGAGAAACAGAAAAAGCTAAAAAAGGTAAGAAAGACATGAAGAGAAATATAGTGGTTTGTTAGATTTATCGTAATTCAATCTTTTTCTTTTTTAACCATCTATATATTTTTTTATAACATTTACATGTAAAATTCTATTCCTTTCTTAGTAAACATCAAATTTTTTTAATATTTCAAGAATTGGCATCCCTACATTTTCGTGAATGTTTTATGAAAAATTCAATGCTGTTAAAAGAACTTCGAGAATAACATCATATTCCTCTACTGAAATTTCATTTATCTCTCTTTTCCTCTCTTTCTCTCTTTCTTTCTCTTTCTGCTTTTCTATCTTTCTCCTTCTATAGCTAGTGCGGAGAATTGGAGCGAGGAATCGAATCAGAATTATTCGGTGGATCGTTTTCGGTATCGGGAAAGCAACGTTTCGCATCCTCGATTCGAATACATCCAATTAGGATTCGCAGAGAGGTGGTTGGGTTGGGACGAATGATGGCCGGAGAAGGGGAGGGGAGGGGAAAGGGGATCGGGAGTTAGTAAGGAGAGGCACGAAATCTCCTAGGAGAAGACGAGAGAGTAGGAAATGTTGAATGCTCTTCCATGCTTGATAAAGTAATCGCGAAGCAGCTTGCATGGAACTCTCTTTTTTTACCTCTCTCTTTCTCTTTTTCTCTCTCTTGCACGTGGGTGCGGACGCAATGAATATAAAAAGTGCCGCTGGACCGATTACAGTACCAGCTTTTCTTTTATTTCGTGAAAATAAAGGAAGAAAGCGTGCTCCTCGCGCCATGGAAACGATCTGAGAAAAAAGATGGGGGCAGAGGGTGGATGAAAGCACGAGAAGAGAGAAAGAAGAAAAAAGGAAAATTAGGGGAAAAGAAAAGGAAAGAAGGGTGGTATGGGTGAGGAGGGAGGAAAAGGGAGAAGAAAAAGGAAGGGAAAGAAAGACGACGAAGAGGAGGAGTGGAAGAAATTCTGCTTCCGGCCACTAGGGAATTACTCGGTCGAACCGCTTCGCCGAGTTGAAAATCGTAGACGGGACACTAAGAGTAAGGTCGAATCGAACGACGGTGTGTCCCGACTTCTACGTCGCTCGTTGCGCGCGCGCTCTACTACTCTTGCCAGTAACATCGTTGAGGATAAGAGAAAGAGAGAGACAGAGAAAGAGAAAGAGAGAGAGAGGAAGGGAGAGGAGAGAGAGAGAGAGAGAGAGAGAAGTAGACAGTGAAGCGAAGAAGGCAAAGTTGTGGGAACAGCGTCGGCATTAGTTGCGTTAGAGAGAAAAGGATGACGAATATAGGAACTTGGTAAAAGAGAAAAAGAGAGAGAGAGAGAGAGAAAGAGAAAGAAGGTAGAATAAAAAGAGCGTGTCCTTGCTCCCGAGCTAACTTCTTCCTCGTGTCTGTACCCTCTCTTTCTACCCTTGGAGACCTTCGTATACCTTCCTTTCACCCTCCTGGATAGTTCAGTCTTGTTCTTTTTCTTCTTTTTCCTTCTTTCATGTTCGGTGGCTTCTTCGACTTCGTGTAGTCTTTCTCTCTCTCTCTCCCTCTCTCTCTTTTTCTCTTTCTCTCTTTCTATCTTTCTCGCTCGTTCTCATATATTCACTATCTTTTTCTAGCTTAGTTTCTTCTTCTTCTTCTTTTTCTTCTTCCTCCTCTTCTTCTTCTTCTTCTTGTTCATCTCCTCTCAACAAGCAGAAAGCCGCACACGACCTTACCGTACCACACCAGGAGCTGCTCCCTATCCTTCCCTTCTCTTCCTCTCTTCTACACACCATCCTCCCAAACTTGAATCCAATTTTCCACATCACATCCCGCAAAAGTTACTTCGCGGCGTACACCCTTCTCTCCTCTCTTCTTCACTTTTTCTCTCTTTTTTCTTTTTTTTCTTTCTCTCTCTCTCTCTCTCTATCTTTTTTCTTTTTTTCTCTTTATATCGGGTCAGGAAGCGCAGCGCGACGCACGAACGGCGGGAGGAACATTTTTATATCTCCTCTTTGCCTCGGCACGAAGAGTGAAACAATTTCGGGACATATTGCTCGATCTCTCTCTTTTTCTCTCTCTCTTTCTCTCTCTCTTTCTTTCTCTCTCTCTCTTTTTCTCTTTCTCTCTTTCTCTCTTTCTCTCTCTCTCTCTCTCTCTCTCTTTCTATCTCTCTCTCTGATAGACGTAATAACGCGTGTTCCCGGTCGTCGTTTTCGCGTTTCTTATTTTCTTTCTTTCTTTCTTCTATCTCTTCTGTATCTACTTTTTCTTCATTTTTTCTTTTTTAACACGGACGTCTGCGTATTTCTCTCCATAGTAACTCGTCGCCGCTTCGTCGCTTTTACAAAACGAATTTTATCGTTCCTAGCACCTTCCATGATCGAACCTGTTACGCTTCCTCGTCAGCCGATAGGATTACTCGTAAATTCGATCTTTTCTCTTTTATGAAGTAACATTAGTTGTAGGTGAAAGATATAAGTACATGAATTAAATAGATATTTTCTCGATTGTTCGTAAAAATAGTGTTAAAGTAATGTTTCTTTACGCGTTTTCACTTATGTTTTTTTCTTTCTTTTTTTTTTTTAATATTTTTCCAATTAACTTCATGAAATTATTATATTCGTTGAAATGCTGTATTACATTAAAAATAATTATGAACGATATGGTATTATATGAACAGTTAAAGTATGTAACGGATATAAAAGATATGTTATTTCTCTTATAACAAAATAAATTTCTTTTCCTGCATCCAGAATCTTATTAACCTACTATGTATTTATACAGTTATGCGACAGACAGATGCAAGAGAAATTCTCTTGAGCGTCATTGAAGCTAAAGTCAAATTCGTTCGACGAGATCCCTCTCTCTCTCTCTCTCTTTCTCTCTGTCGATCGTGGCGATTTAATCGGAAAACGTCGTGTTTCAAATACTCCGCGATTTGCAGCGCGGTAACGAGCAGCAACGAGGCCGGCAGCATTAAATTTTCGGTAAAGCGATCGACGACCCGTTTGCTTCGCTCATTTGAGTACGCTTGCGCGAGCGCGCGTCCAAGTATTATCGACTATGTCGTTTGCACACTGCCAAAGGTCGTGAGATCCATCATTCGAGTCGAACGAAAGGGTCATAGTTGGTCGTATGCATGGAGATCGTATTACGTTTCTGCTTCATTTATGTCAATGACACTATAACGACGAGCGATGTATCGCTTAAATTTTGCCCTCAGACTGATACTAGAAATTGATTTTATCGATCGTTTATTTAATTCATCGGGAATCGTTATTCATGAAACGAGTTACGGCATTTGCTTCTCGTTTCTGAAAATGAATAATATATTACGCTTAGTCAGTTCTTTTTTTTTATTTTTCTTTTCTCCCAAGTAAACTATACATTACAATTTTACGTTGTAATCGAAGGAAAAGAATTTATCGTATCTTCGAAATGTCATTAGTATTTTTCTACGACGTTAATGTTTTCTTAATCGTTCAAATTTTTATTTCATATACATACACCGCCATCATAGAACGAAATTCTACATTTCCTTTTATATCTTTGTTTAATGTATTCATTTTCATATCCACGCGTAGAAGTCAACTTAATTTACGCAGATAGAGATATCGTATAATTTCTTTTTATCGTAAACGTAGAAATTCTCGTCCCTAGCGTTCTACTAAAGAATTAAAACTTTATTTGACCCATTTAGCTAAGGTAATGAGAAACTTTCCGAGCGAGTAGGACAAACGAGATTCAGATAGGACAACTCGCTTTATTTTTCATTCCACGTTCACGTTTTGAAAGAGTCAAGAGTATCGATTACTCGCGCTACTCATGGAATTAGTACTTGTAATTCAC